TAACAATTCGATATATGTATAAATACATCAGTTATTTATTGGGTCATAAAAATACAACATATTGAGACCCCAGACTGTCCTTCTATCACCCCTAGATTATGTGAGAGTTGCGTAAAGGAGTGAAAAAAAAACTAGTCAATATGGATAGACTCCCTCAGACCCGTAGCACAAGCTGGGAATACCACCTTAGTATACGGTAAATCACTGAGCATAATTTGTGTTTTGACCTACGCATTTATATCCTTGCTTAATAAATACGGAGTTATAACTACATAAGTAACAAGGAGTTATCTGTAGTTTCAACACTTACAGAATATATGTCAGTAAAACACACTACAGTAGAGTACAGTATAGAGTGAATTATCTCTCATTGCCAGGACTAAATTATCAGAGGAATTATTTAAGAGATACTGTGCATGGTCTTATAACATCTGTTTATTTCTTGTTTGTGTTTGTTTAGCTTCTGTGTGTTGAATTCCCCTTTAAAGAGCTGCCAACCTTTGTCGTGTGAGTGAAGTCAGTACCTCACTCCAGGGTCGAAGGTCAGAGGTCAAGAATTACTGATGTTAATATTAGAATTTCAGATCATTAAATCAGAGATCAGTCTTGGTATCGAACTCTGAAGTGTGTTTCCATAAGTGTCTTGCCCTGATGGATACAAACCTCCCAGTTGTCTTTCACAGCCGAGTTATATGTCAAGGTCTTTAGTACGAAGACCAAAATAACTGAGCTGTGTTCACACGACAACGTCACCTTCCACGGACCAGCCTTGTGTGGCGCCATACTGTATAAAATATGGATTTGTGGTTTTTTAGCCTTTGCGAAATTCTCTGGACACTCAACTGAGGGGATTAACCTTATTCCAGTGGATGTCTGACATAGAAACACATATTAATATTATCGTGAAATTTTATTCTATATTACCAAATATAAGTTGGCATCTCTATTTTCAATATTTATTATTGAAAAAAAAATCATCAACACTGACAAAAGAAAATTATGGTTTCTGTGTTTTGTCTTTGGGGGGGAGGAGGAGGGAGGGCTGGTTACATACCTTAAATAAACCAGTAATTTAATCATCGCCTCTTGTAACTACAGAGAACCTTTACTGAACTGACTCAATCTATTTAAGTAAAGGGTAACACGTCACTTATGCATCGAGTCTTCTAATTGTAACCATGAAGCTGTACATTCTTTGTAAAGCTATTTCAATAACATTCCTCCTGAAGAAATAGATACACTGAAATATTCTCATGGTCTTTATTTACTCCATGATCCTCTTTCGTGTTATATTTTACATCATTTTATTTAGCATACCTTCTGGAGCCTGGTATTAAATGCTGTTCTCCGTCGTGTGTATTGTTTTACGCTAAGAAACTGAAGTAAAACATAATATTTTGTTCTCCTCTTATTCCATCTGAAGGTTTAATAATAATACCCCATGATTAATGATACTTGACATGTACGGAATATAAGTTAAGAGAGGGTGTCAATAGCCTGACCTTCAGCTCTAACTCTGATAGCTGTAGACATTCTTATCCATAGCTGTACTTATCTTCCTTAAGTTCTCTCAAGACCAGAGGTAATTCCATAACCTAACTTAACCTTTAAAATGTTGTCATATTTAGTGTTTAATATGTTTAATATCATAACATATTTTACTACACCTCCGTTAAATCTGATGATTAACTTGATAAAACTGATTTTTTTAACATTTCCCGGAATATGTGTTACATTTGTTAAATATGTTGCAACGTTAAATGCTTCATACAATCTGATGACAGTATACCTGTAAATAATACATATTAGGTGATATATATATCTCTTTATGACCAGGTGACATATTGTAATTGGCTTCGTATGATGAACTCCAAGCTTCAACCAGCCTCTCTTGCCCCTCAGAACCACCCCTTCATCCACTCCGTCGGTGTTTTTATAATAAACACTCGGGAAATATATATTTTTAATGGTCAACATCCAAAACACTCAAAACACACACACCTACACAGACGCACACACACACCTAGGTGTGAATTTGTTTAAGGTGTAGAAGCTGTCACCACACAACAACCACACCCTGAGTTAACGAGGTGTATGACCCAGTGTCAAGGGATAGTCCAAGAAGACCGGACAACTCGCCAACTGCACTGGCTAACCATTACCCCGGAACACGATCCGTAAATTTATTAACATCCAGGTTCCCAATTACTGCTGGGTAGACAGAGGCAAATGGCGTACAGAAATTAGCCCATAGTTTCACCCTGCCCGGGGATCAAACCCGGGTCCGATCGCTTGCGAGGAGAGCATGCTGACCATTACACCACAGGCAGCCACAGAACACACACACACACACACACACACACACACACACACACACACAGTATAAAATACTACATCTATGCCAGTTTTCGCCGTAGAGTAATTCAATATCTCTATAGCCATCATAATGTTCAAACGTATAAACCGGCCAAAACATTAGAAACACACACATTTAATAACACATATTGAGTTTAAAAAAAAATAATTATATTCCCTATATAAATAAGCTATATTGAAAGTATATATTCTCTATAAGCTGAACGGGCATACGTCCGTATATAAATTCAGTATACGTATATATATATATATATATATATATATATATATATATATATATATATATATATATATATATATATATATATATATATATATATATTTTATGTAAATAGACCAAAATGCATTAGAGTTATTGGGAATGAGATTTACAAATGAATTATTTATCAATCCTCCCAAATTGTATTATGAACCGAAATTTCAATAACAAAAGCATCGCGTATCATATTTATTCTAATGTAAAAGCGATTAATGTTTTCTATGTCCCCGTGGAGCTTCGTAAATATTAACAAGGAATAAATGCAATAATGGAAGAGAATGGGAAATAATTAATAGGAAGGAAAAGAGGAGAGGAGAGGAGAGATAACGAGAAGGGGTGAGAGATATTTGAGGGAGTGATAGAGGGGGAAAGTCTTATGGAGAGGAAAGTTCAAGGAAGAGAGAGGAGGGTTTAAAGAGAGGAAGAGCGAGAGGCTTAAAGAAGAGAGAGAGAGAGAGAGAGAGAGAGAGAGAGAGAGAGAGAGAGAGAGAGAGAGAGTTTAAAGGGGAGAGGGAGGAAGATTCAATAAAGAGAGGGAGGGAGAATCAATGGAGAAATGGAGAAAGATTCAAAGTGTAAAGAAGAGAGTATTGAGCAATTAGGAAGAACAACAACAACAAAACAACAACAACAATAACACATCAATAATAATAATAATAATAATAATAATAATAATAATAATAATAATAATAAAAAGTTCCCAGGCTTGATCTCCACTCCACTACCAGTCGCAAAATAAAACACAAACACATACATAGTCTTTCTCTATTAAAAGAAACATAAAAAATAAAAAAAGTTAAAACCAGCAAATAAAATAGACAAAAAAAAGATGTTGAGAGCTACAGCATGATACTCGCTACAAGAATAAATAAAAAACAACTTTCCATTACTTTTTTTTTTAATGTGAATCACTTTGACTCGGTCAGCAACACACACACGTACAGCGCTTCTGATGGTGTAAATATTTTTTGAAGTCGAGGTTTGGTTTTTCGAGTGTGTGTGTGTGGGTGTGTGTGTGTGTGGGTGTGTGTGTGTGTGGGTGTGGGTGTGTGTGTATATGTATGTATGTATGTATGTATGTTTTTGTCTGTTTATGCATTCTGGCGCTACTTGTGTGTTTCCAAGTTATAAAATACGAACAAAATTACAGTTTATTATTATTATTATTATTGTTATCATTTTTATTATTATCATTATCATTATTATTATCATTATTATAGTCCACGAGAAGTGTATCTAGAGCTTATTTGTGAATCCATTTGATAAATTTTTACGCAATTTTGTTAAACGGATAACAGCAAAATAATATTAAATATAATGATATAAACATTATCAACTTCTGCTTTGTATTGTTTGTACTTTATTTAACAGGAGTTAATATCAACACAGGTGTAAACTAAAGCGATATTTACCATCATCGCTCTAAGTTGACCGCGTGAAGTGTATAATACCAAACACAAGAGATCCATCTGACTATTGTATACAACACTACAAGGTTTGGTGGCACCAGTTGTTACCAGAAGCTATTATTCAACATCTAATGTCACGTCTCCTGATGCCTCACGAAGCGCGTTCGATAGATTACTCACTAGTTTACTCCGTTTGTCATTCTTGTTTTATTGCTTATCCGGGCATGGCGGCTGTGTACTGGACGCTGAACGCATTACTTAATACACTTATATACATTGTTGAATGTTAATTACTTGCTCGAAGAGATTTTTTGTGTCTGATCTGATCTTCAAGTTTACCCAAGTTCATATAAAGGAAATAAATATAGATCAAATACAAATCAAGTGGCGAACTAACTCCACAAAAACGTTTACCACTCAATGTAAGGAACATGTAGATTAGCTGCGACATGCCACGGTAAAGTGTGGCTAAAAAAAGACAACTACACAACGAGTGTTATTGTGTGTTGCGCATGATGGTGGTGGGGTCGTGGGAGGGAGGGAGGGAGGGAAGGATGGCCCAGCAGGCAGGCAGGTAGGTAGGTAGGTAGTTCAGTGTGACGCCAGGTACTGTAGTGAGTGGTTGTGTTGTGCGCGCTGCTCAGATCGACCACCATCCTCCCTCTACCCCCCACCCCCCCGGTAGAAGCCCCACACACACATATGGGCAGTGAACTTGGGTTAGCCAGCATCTATCAACAGTGACGTTATGTTGAGTGTCAGGTGTTATGGCTAATGAAGGATGGTAGATACTTTTATAACTAGACTTTTATCTCTTAGTAAAAGATAAATTTGGCCTTATATCCAGATTATTAGGCAAGAGGTAAGGTGGCAAGGGGGGCAACAGGTGGTGGTGGTGGTGGTGGTGGTGGTGGTGTAGGGTATGAGTGAGGCGCGGTCATATACACACACACACACACACACACACACACACACACTAATACCCTCACTCATACATCTCCCTCAGTGACAATGTATCAAATTTGTGTTCATAAATAAGGCAACTTTATTATTTATTTTTTTAGATATTCCTACCTATTGATTATCAATCTAACGCGTGGTTTTATTAAATGTTAAACGACTTACTGGAACTTATATAGATTGATCAACAAAGAAGAGTGAAAAGTTCCCCTAATCAACCTAATCGAATCGTTAAAAAACTCTAAAATTTGGAGAGAGAGAGAGGGAGGGGAATCTTAGCTGATGGTGGGGACAATGAGCTGGAAGAACCATAACGCTGACAATTAACTTTATTTGGACGGAAGCGGCTGATTACCTTCGCCAGGAGGAAACAAAGGAAGCTCCTCCACACCCGACACCATCGTCAGTAGTCAGTGTTTAGGTGGTAAGTACTGTACCTGTTGTTGTTATTTTCACTGATATATTATTAGTTATTATTATTACTATTATTATTATCATTATTACTATTATTTCTAATTATTATTATTATTACTGAGGGATAACAGTGGTCGTATTCACACACACACACACACACACACACACTTCATGATTCAGTGGCTCAGTGGCGCTACTAAATAAAAACCAAGACTAGTTTCACAGGATGACTCGTCCACTCTCTCCCCAATGCCAAGACGTGACTGAACTGCTCAAAATTAGATAAAACCTGTAGACCACTCCATGTCAACCCTACAGGCGAACTACTTAAAAAATTAATCTTGTGTTTTTTTAAGATACATCAGTGAGAATACAAAAATGACTAATACTATTAAAGAAGAGTTTGATAGAAAAATGTGAAAAATATGACAAATGTTGTGTTGAGAGAAAAAATAAAATATTATAAGAATATGACAAAAAATGGACTAATACAATAGGATAGTTTTATTTTTTTTTTATAAATCTAACCAAACAGACAACAGAATGTAACCGGGTAGAGATTACAAAAGCTGTTCATTATCGTGAATAATCGCCATACTAATCTTAATAATGACCATCATATATTTACAATGAATAGAGGAGCATTCAAAAGATTATGCCTATGTATTATATAACACAAGGAATTTAAACCCTAATGGAATAAATCTAAACTGTATAGTAAAAGGTAAATAAATTATCACATTATACGTTAACTCTTTATCATCCTCTTCCATTATCTGTTTTCTCTTATATCTCTACCTACTTCTTTGCATCTCTTTCGTCAACATTCAATACGAAAAAATTCACTTTGATTATTAAATAATTTCGTTAACATTAAACTACTATAGTGAAACCTCCATTTAACGGACTATATGGTGAGAAAAGTCCGTTATATCGAGGATCCGTTACATGCGAAACCCCCATTTAACGGATCACATATAGAAAAAATCCGTTATATGGAGGTTACGATAGGTTAGGTTAGGTTAGATTAGGTTAGACACGTTAGTTCAACTCTACATATACACAATACAGTACAACAATTTGGTTAGGTTAGGCTAGGTCAGGTCAGGTTAGGGGAGGCTAGTTTAGGTTAGGTGAGGCTAGGTTAGGTGAGGTGAGGCTAGGTCAGGTCAGGTTAGGTGAGGCTAGTTTAGTTTAGGTTAGGTTAGGTGGGGCTAGTTTAGGTTAGGTTAGGTGAGGCTAGGTTAGGTCAGGTTAGGTGAGGCTAGGTCAGGTTAGGTGAGGCTAGTTTAGGTTAGGTTACACATGTTAGTTCAACTCAACAATACAGCTCAGAGATATACCAAATGTAGTGTATTGATTGAACAGTGTGGTAGCCAACGTTGTCGCAGCCTAGCCAGTGAACAAAAGTGCCTGGTGATGCATCTTTTATCACCGCTGTCTGGTCTTCCTTTGTTCGAGACAGTTCACACTCCACAAAGGGACATACAGACATACACTCAAGGACATGTATGTTGGTTGAATGTCAGTAATGTAATGGCAGCGTTAATGCAACTTATGGGGGTGAGGGGAGGAGGAGGTCGAGGGGAAGGGGGAGGTAGAGGGGGGAGAGGGGAGGTCGAGGGGGGAAAGGGAAGAGGGGGGAGGCCGAGGGGGAAAGGGGGGAGGTCGAGGGGGGAAAGGGGGAGGCGAGGGGAGAGGGTGAGGCCGAGGGGAGAGGGGAGGTCAGGGGGGGAGGGGAGGTCGAGGGGAAAGGGGGGAGGTCGAGGGGGGAAAGGGGAGGTCAAGGAGGGGAAAAGGGGAGGTCGAGGGGGAAAAGGGGAGGTCAAGGGGAGAGGGGGAGGCCGGAGGGGGGAAAGGGGGAGGCCGAGGGGAAAGGGGAGGTCGAGGGGGAAAGGGGGGAGGCCGAGGGGGGGAGAGGGGGAGGTCGAGGGGGAAAGGGGAGGTCGAGAGGGGGAAAGGGGAGGCCGAGAGGGGAAAAGGGGTGTCGAGAGGGGGAAAGGGGAGGTCGAGGGGGAAAGGGGGAGATCGAGGCCGGGAGGGGGGAAAGGGGGAGATCGAGGGGGGGAAAGGGGGAGGGGGAGGTCGAGGGGGGAAAGGGGGAGGTCGAGGGGGGAAAGGGGGAGGTCGAGGGGGGAAAGGGGGAGGTCAAGAGGGGGAGGGGAGGTTGATGGGATAAGGAGGGGGAAGGGTGGTATTTTATGTTGTACCAGACTCCAGAACATAGCACCTACTTGGCCTAGCTGTTTAACCATGCATGTAACTGTAGAACCAAAGGTATACCTATGTCGTAAAATTCTACGTAAATTGTTTTTTGGTGAAACAAATTTAAGTATTAATAACCACTATGAAGTTCATTTTCATTATTTTTTGTTCTCCATTCTAAAAATACTTTGTAATCAACCTAGAAATAAATATTGTAGTTTTGTATATAAATTTGTTTGGTGTTTGTGTGTGAAGCAGAAAGAGTTGCGTGATTACTTTTTATATCACAACACTATATTTACCCAACAGGATTGAGAGAGATCGACACATGTGGTTATCATCTGAGGAATATTTGATACCAGTTAAGAGCAAATCAACGTCGGGTAGTATTACAGTTCTGTCACTTTACTGGATCAATATAAGTCATTTCAAAAATATACTTGTAACCCAATTATTATTATTTATTATTTTTGTATCTCGTCACTGCATAGAATAAAGTATCATTAGAAGCATTATGAATATATAAAGTAAAAAATATTCTAAACAAAAAAATATAATTAACTTTCCGATTACTTTACTAATACCGGAAATGTGAAAAGTAAACGAATGAATACACAAAATTAGGAGAAAAAAAAGTATTTACAGAGAGTGAAAAAATAACCGACACTTCGACAGCCACTCAGAGCCCAGAGCAAACTATAAAATGTTAGAGCAGCGGGAAGAGGACTTTAAAAAGGCGAGCGTGTGGAGCTGTGAACACGAGTATTCTCGCATGGGAGGTAGATTTTTCCCTTTGTTCTTTTAATGGCGAGCATTTGTGTGGTGCATGTATTACCTTTTGTTTGTGTGTGTGTGGGTGTGTGGATGGGTGTGTGGGTGTGTGGATGGGTGTGGTGTGGTGTGAGTGTTTTTCTTAGAAGTTTATGGAATTTTGATATCAATCTACAAGAGTCAATGTAAAAAGTAATACTGGTTCCCATAGACTTGACTGTACGTGGATGCAACACACTGTACACTAAACCTTCGGTACACAAGGAGGCAGCATGGCCGGTACAGCACACTACACCGCATTCACTTCCCCAAGTTATAAACTTAGGTACCTATTTACAGCTGGGTGAACTGGGAGTGCCCGGGGATCGAACCAACGTCCCATGGAACAGGAAGCGAGCGCTATATCCACTCGACCGATAGAGCCAATAACAAGTAGTAAACACTTTATATATAATTAACTAAAACATTCAATCTCTATCAAGTGCAGTTCCAAATGAAAGAAGTTTGTTAAGGTGGTAGTAGGGAAAAGTCGCTCTTGGCCGCTGAAAGAAAACTGAAAGCAATAACCCAGATGTTCACAAGAGCAATAATGTTCCACAATAACACATTTTTGTGATCGATGATGACTAAGATATTTACAAAGTTCAGCCTGAAAATACTCTGTACTAATAATTTAAGATACCACAAAAAATATATTTAACCTTTACAAAAGAAAATGTCTTCACAGATCATCATCAGCCTCGACATTTTTTCTCTTTGAAATAATCTTCTTATAGATTACGTTCTCTTGACCTTTAAATTTTACTTATGTCGTACCAAAGGCAGCTGACTCATGTATGAAGCTCAGAACCTCAATGTTAAGATTACAATTGTTCACAGGACCCCGTATTTAGAGCGCTTAAAAAATAAGACAATAAAAACTAATAAACTAGTAAAAACAATCGTCAAAACCTGATCATATATTAAAGGCGGGAAAAATATTAAAAACAAAAAATTAATAGCACAAATTTAAATGATTTCTATACTAATGAGGGAGAGAATTGTGGGCCTAATTTTCAAAGAGTAAGGATGAGCTCCCCCCATTGATCGATAGCTGGTTAAAGTTACAAGTCGATGGACGTTCTTCATGGCTTTAACCTGGAGTTTCAAGAAGTTGACAGACAAGATGTTTCCAGGAATCCGCGAACCACACATGTCAACGTTTCACAATTGTATTCATCACTTCCAGGGATAATCGACTTAAAACTTCCAGGAATTGACGAGTACACTACAAGCTCTACCAACCCAAAAAGTGAAATGGAAGACACGATAAATGCACAAGAAATTCACATCTACCTGTATATTGACTTGGATAAGGTAGGTCACTCTACTGTACCTCTGTTATGTCAATAGGTGGCGAAAAGATGGTGTTTGTATAGCTGATATTCCTGTGAGTATGAGGCTTGGAAAACACCCGGTATAAAAACGGACAAATAAACAAAGAACTGTTTCAGATATTCCACCTCTATTGTTTTCAGGATCGGGATACGAGGCGAGAGACTATACTGTACTGGATCATGAATATGCTTAAGGGGGATGGTTAGGGGATAGAGTCCATTTGGTATATCCTTTAGTTTTTATTACACCCTCACCACAAACATTACAATTATTCTTCAACTCAGAATACAGAGAATCTAATGGGGGTTACCAACAAGAATACCCCAATCTACCCACTTACAAATTGGGACCCTTGTTTGACGTGATATCCCCAAATTTCTTGTACCTTTTATTTTTCCAATATGATATTACATTTATTACCAAGACACTTCCTGATTCTAGACCTTTCTGATGAGGTATACACTAACCAAACCCAACCTAACCCAACCCAACCCAACCCAACCCAACCCAACCCAACCCAACCCAACCAGGCATTTCATAACCCTCTCACGTTTGATATAATTCCAAAACAAAATATAAATAGTGTGGGTATTGTGATGATAAATTCTGTTGGTTCTCTCGGCTATGTGAAATTGACTTACATATCCATTTTATTGG